AACAGCTCACTGTTGAGCTAACGCTACATTCACCAACTGCCACCCCTGCAGAAACACAGCAGATCAGGTTCCGAGCGGCCACCTACGCCGCTACCACTTCTCAGTCAGACAGACAGTGGTCCATCCTGTACCAATTGCAACGTCTCCATGCAAACTGGCAGTACAATACCTCGAACTTATTCCTAATGCTCTATGTTATACACCACTTGGAAAATTCCATTATTTGCTGTATTTAAATGTACTTCAGGAAGTCAGTCAACACCAGAATTTATAAGATATTGTAGATGCGTCACTTCCACTTGTAAATCGAGTACTCGATAGGGAACGTAAAAAGATATTTTAATCTTTTAATAATATTATATTGTGATTGACGGCTAATTTTTAATATATTTTTAATACCAGAATTTATAACAAAGAGCCAAATTTGTAATTTAAGTGTCTATGCATAATACTGTGATGTCTGAAATGTGAAGGAGGAAAAAGTGAGAAATAGTATGACCAGGCAGGCAGCCACGCATTCAGGCAGGATATCAAGGGATAGGCAGTAAGCAGGAACATGGACCTACCTGTAAATTCGTCTTCCCATTCTAAACCAGGATTTAGATTGTACTCGTCTTCAAACACAATGGAAAAAAGAAAGAAAAATCAATACTCAGATTATCAGTATGTATGTCACATTTCAATTTTCAGGAAACAAGAATGACTGGAAAAATTTATATAAATGTTCAGTAAACTGTAACACAGAAAACAACCAATGTTTATGAAAAACATCAGATTGAAACACACAGCAGCATCTTAAATAAATGTAATTAATTGGTCACCATCACATAGTATGATTCCAGTGAGGAAACCATTTCCTAAATGCAATATTATCTTGTTAATTATAATAAAATCACTGCTAATAATGTTAAACAAGCAAGCATGATAAGTACTATAAGTAAAAAGAAATCAGTCATTCTTTTCTGCAAAGCATTGCAACATACACAATTCTGTACACAACATTTTTGTTAATGTCCAATCAAGCAACAGTGTCCCAAATTTAGAGTTGCCTATGACATACCAGCCAGTGAATCCTCCGTTAAATCACTTTCATCAATCATAGTTTTCTCAATGAGAAAATGATCGCCAACTCACAGCATAAAAAGTGCTTCTTCGTAATATCATAACTGAAAATTTATTCATGGAATAGTGAATTTCATGATTGTAAATACGTATTTCAGTTATGTGAATCCTTTAGCATTTTTTAATATTATTAGATATTTTGAGAACAGTCTTAAAGGATGCAACTTTAAGCCAATATGTAAAAAAAAAATACACAAATATAATTTAGGATAACATGCCTTATCCCTATGTCAACTCCACCTCACCACATTAAATTTACATCAATAATAAGAAACTTAGGAATATTCATAATGCTGCAACTAGCAACACACAAATGGAAAATATCAACCACTGTAGAAAATGTTGAATCTTCAGGAATAAGAACCAAGATCACTAACAATCACTAACGAAGCACCAATAAATATTCTTAATTGAAATGTAATGCAAAAAATGTAACACCCGAATGAAGCACGGACCCTGAACTACCTCTTCAATGTATAGAAACTTCTGAACATGCAATAAATGTACCTAAACTAAAAACAGAAAAATGTAATTTCGGAAGACTGAGGCATACGTACACCTCAGCTATAAATGGCTGGTAAAGTTTTGTCCCATTTTCTGATACAGTGAGTGAAACTTAATAATAAAAAGTGCTTGAACACAAGGAACCAAAGACATAAAAAAGGTTAATGGATAATCTGCCAAGCTCCAAGTCCACAAATATTAATTTTGTGTATAAAATCTCCTGCACAACAGTTTAATGTAATATACTGAGTTCCATGAGTCATAATCCCATGATACTGCAGTCAAACCTGCCACGATGCAACAAAGTAGAATTGCAAACCACAATTATTGCTACAAGTGACATTAGTGCAAGCAGTTTATAGAAAACGTTTTCATTTATTCAAAAAATGGAACAATGCAAAAGTGGATGTGCACACGGCAGCAAGTTTCTTCTCGTCACAAATTTAAAGGAAAACATCTCATTTCAATACAGAATGTGGTCACTTTTGACGAAACTTGGATTCACTCTGCATATGTGATCATACTTTTCAATTTGGAGGATGTGTAGGTTTTTCGGAACACATTATCTGTCATTTTCCTTTCATGCTAGGATGAAAGAAATTAACATCAATAATAATTACGCTAGCCAGTGTAAAAGAACAATATTTTTCAACTTCAGATGGACAAATGCAAGGTTGGAATCTCAACACTGATCTACCAGCACATTTATCTAAATCACATATGAAACATGTGACTACATATTAAAAGAAGATAAACGCATCAGTCACATGAGCATAAACTGTGTTCCAACATGCACACCATTTACTTACGCTCATATTCAGAAATAAATTGGCACTTTCCCCACCATGACATCAGACATTATCAACATTACCCAGCAACAAACATCTTCTGGCTGCATGCGTCGTTATACGAAGAAATCAGCAGCATGCCGCAACCAATCACCATTACAAAACATGCTCCTCCCTTTCTTATTTGCATTACGCAACTAAGTGTTATGAAGCAATGCAAAAATGTTTCGGTGGAATTGATAGATTTACAATCTGTATGGAACCCCCTCAAATACCTACATTTTAATTTCCCCCACAAGTAGCGACCTTTAATACGCTTAAAACCAGCAAGCATCTACCTGATACAGCATTCTTAAACTTGTTTCCTAACCTGGTACACGTTACAAGGGCTATCACTGACACTTTACCTTCAGACATTACAGCACAGTTACAAAATGTCACCTAACATTACAAGGAAATCTGGGAAGTATAACAAACAGACAAGTTAAAAGCAGTACAAATATTCGGACAGCGCGCTTGCATGTGACCTGACGGGTGCTCAACATTTGTGATGTTTATACCAACATGTCCACCCCTCTTTCTTGAAATTTTGTGAGTTTGAAACACAAATAGTGGGAATGTGATAGCAAATATATCAGAGTGTGATAATAATAATAATGTCAGAACTACGAGGCGCGTCCTCAAAGTAAGTTTCCCACTCGTCCCACAGCTAGCAAACCTTATATTGCGCGAAGCGACTGTGCGTACGTGATAGAGCAATGACGTAGCATGGCGCATGCACTAACGGCACTTCCCGCGTTCTCACAGTAGCATCGTTGCAGCTGTTGAAGATGGAGGTTCTTATTCCAGCTCCCGCCGACTGTGAAGTGCGGTCAGTGATAACGCTCGGCCGCACACGGCTCGACGGACAGCGAGTCTCCTGCAGGAGTTCAGCTGGGAGGTGTTTGATCATTCACCCTACAGCCCGGACCTCGTTCCCAGTGATTTCCATCTTTTCCTACACCTCAAGAAATTCCTGTCCGGTCAGCGTCAGCGTTTTGAGAATGACAGAGAGGCGGAGATGGTTGTCACACAGTGGTTCCAATCCCAGGCGGCCGACTTCTACGACACAGGTATTCAAACGTTGGTCCCACGGTATGACCAATGTCTCAATTCCGGTGGCGAATATGTTGAAAAATAGCTGGACACTTGCTGTATCTGTTGCAATAAATATTTCCATGAAATTGTGTTTTGTTTCTGTAAACGGCCCCAGGGAAACTTACTTTGAGGACGCTCCTCGTAGAAGAATAGAACACTTAATTTTTCTTCCTGTAACAGCCACTTCATGCGTTACTGCAGCACAAAACTTGGTCTAGTCCTCAAAAGTTATTAGTTCCTTGTAGTGTCAAATCACAGGAAACTTCAGCCAGTTCCATCAACCTTTCATTCTCACAACCTACTTCAGTAACACCTGTATTAATGTTATCCTCCCATATCATTATTGTCTTCCAAGTGGCCAACTTGCAAGAGGTTTTCCACCAAAATTCTGCAGGCATACCTTGTCTCCTCCAGCCCACTGTAACATTCTACCTTTTACGTTTGTTAAAAAAATGTGAATGGCATAAACCACAAGTTCCTCGTCGAGTATTATTTTAAACAGCCCATTTCATCTTTCTCCGGACGAAAGCACTCGGTTACCAGACTACCCCTATTCATATTTTTACAAACAAACAAACAAACAAAAAGAAGAACCATGCTGCACGCCAACACAAAACAACTGGCAAAATTATTGTTTTTATATTTATCTCATCTTCAGAGTTCTGAAAAGTGGTAACAGTGCAAGCATTTTCATATTTTACTTTCTTCTAATTTAATATTAACCTCATTATATGTAAAACACATTACAACTTTGGTTTCATGTCACATTCATGTATTTATTTTCATTTTCAAACAAATGCAACATTTTAAACATTATTAATCTGGCCCTTTCAGAGTAATACTGTCCTCTGGTGACATTTCTTTAAAGCAAAGAAACTTTAATAAAAGAATTAAAGGAAACTTAAAAGCACCAAATGAGCATGAACAAATCATACTTTTCATGTGTTCTTCACACTCTAATAAAGAGTGAGGAACACCTTATGGGCCCATCCATGTGTGTGTGTCTGTCTGGTCTTTATGCATTCTTTGCAAGAAGTGCACGCAGAGAACACATTATGGGCAGATCGTGTCTGTCCAGTTCGTTATACTTGAGTATCATTGGACAAATTGAGATTAAATTTTGAATATCTGACAACCAGTGACAACAAAAAGACAGATGAGGAAAGTCATAAGGACACACCAGGACACCAAGGTGCTGCAATCAGGTGGCCAAAGTGAGAACTATCAAAGTCTGAATCTGTTTACATGGTACAGTTATCATTCGCACACATTGTTACCCATGCGGAATGATTATCATGGTTACCGTGGTAATCACAGTTCATATTGATACAAGTGGAGGATCAGCTGAAGTTTTCATGCATGTTATGACAGTTTCTGTTGGGACAGGTGAAGTAATTGCAATAAGTTAATAAGCCCTAAATGAGCCGGGATAGCTCAGTCAGTACGTATAGTGACCGGGGTTCGATCCCCGACAGGGGCAGAGGATTTTTCCTCTAGCCTCTGCGTCCAGACCGGCTCTGGGGCCCACCCAGCCTCCTCTACAATGGGTACCGGGGTCCTTTCCCGGGGGTAAAGCCGGCCGGGGCGTGATGCTGACCACTCACCCCCATCTAGTGCCGAGGTCAAGGAAGAGAGGAGCTATACCTCCACTCACCCCAAACGCCTACATGGCGTATAGTGGGACAAACTTTACTTTACTTTAATAAGCCCTAAGAAGGCATCCCAGCTGTATTAAAATATGTAACACCTCATCAATATTCCTTCTTATAACTTTGTTGTAATTACTTGGTAACACTTTACTAACTGTAGTACCTCGCACCGCATAAGAAACAATAACCTTGGATCATAAAGTACGCAGGCCGTGGAAGACAGTAATCCCATCTTACACCACAAATACTATGACAAAATAATGAAAAATCCACAGTGAAGATGGCTTCTCATTTCTGCCAAGAAAAGAACTGGCACCTCCAAAATGGAACTGCAGTGACACCCACAACATTGTAGAGAATAAAGCAAAGAAATTCCCTACAATTATGGAAAACACGTTTTGTTTTCCTGAAAAT